CCAGAGGTAAAACCTCTACATTACATGAAGTTTCAAATCGTTTCAAAATTCCTTTTTTTTTAATAACTGGTATTATCCGTTGAAAATAATAATTATTTGCCGCCTATACACGTTACACCAAATTCCGAAGATACATATCCTTATTTTCTTATGTAATATATATTAATAACATTCCTAATGTGTGGTCGCAAACAACACCGTGTGGGAGTTATAAACAAAAAATGAAGTCATCACTGGGTTAGTACTAGGTGACTTTTTAATCATTTCAGGCTACATATTATGTTTTATTCAAGCAAGGCGTTTGTTATTAATTCGAAGTCCAGTGTTGATGTAATCTCTAATACCGGTATTAAAATTAGGCAAATTGAAGGTTTTTTTCTAATTCAAGAATTATTCATTTGCTGAAAAGATAAGAATTGAGTATTTTAAGTTTTAATGGGAGTGCCCGGGTCTTATTATGTTAAAAGTACATTGTAGTCTGAGTCGATAATATAGTGTGTCAATTCCGAAAGAAATCGAGAAAAAGTTAAAATCAACTTTCATGAAAACAAAACAAAGTTAGAACTCCGACTTGAAGCACCAAACAAAAAAGCTTTTTCACAGACTAAACACTTAACACACCCACTTCAATGCATTCAAATAAACACTACCCCGATACACACCCTCAGAGTGAACGATATTATTTCATGATGATAGGTCGATATCATGGGGGAATTCTTTGTTTTAGAATGAGTGCATCATGCAAGCCCCCCGAGAATTTTATGCCTAATCGAAAAAGTATAATGTTACTGAGGGCGTTATTCGAGGATTCTAGGTATTTCCGCTGTGTTATACTTGGTGAAACGTAAAAAACTTGTTATACGAAAATAAAGTTGAATATTTCAAAAAAGAAACATTGCAACAAACCATGGGCGCTGTCAGGATTATTTTCATTGAGAGGTATCTACATATTTATATTATTCCTCGAATCATTTCAATTGGCGTAACTATTTCAGCGACAATAAGCATTGAACGCTAAGTTGGTTAGCGAAAAGCGTGTCGAGAAACCGTAATTATGGTTCTAGAGTTGGGAAAGTGTTTTCAATAGTCTAATTTCACGCCAGAGGTTCCAGTACGAACCATCAAACTTTAAATAAATCAAAAAACCAGCATTTTTCCCAATTACCATAAACACAATACTTTTCTCGACGCACGTTTCACCAACCAGGTTGGCGTCTTCAGGAAATGAGAAAAATTAATTCCAAAGTCTAAAATTGTCTTTATTTCTATCTAACAGGAAACACTTTCATCTTCCGATACATATCAATGACTTCGGAAAGAAATTTGAGGGAAAGTTTCCGCATATTCTAACAGAATGATTCATAAAAAGATATACAATGGGCTGTTTGGAATGGAAGGAGTTATAAAGCTTCAAATCCTTTTTGTGAATTATATTAATATTAAAATACTGAAAATAAAGGAAAATTAGTTGCATCATTCAAAAAAATATATATATGACTTGAAAAAAATATGAAAAATATGAACAATATTTTCTTGGAATTAGAATTTTGGAGTGGAATCCTCTGTTTTCGTCATTTAGGAAAAGTTTCATCATATCAACAACAGAAATTAGCAGTTTGAGTGAGCATTACGTAAACTGAATAAAAATTAATTCTCCAATAATACGCATAACTTCTTTCTTCAGAAACCATTTTCTAATATGTATACATTAGATTATCTTTGGATACTATTGATCAACTCTTGACTACTTTTTCTGGTATTCATACATTGATAATTGATCACCAAAATATTGCAAAGTCATTTTCTGTTTAATAACTCAATGCAAGATCTATAAAAGTGTTGACTATTCAGAATACACAACTGTTGTTCAATATCCCGATGTTGTTATTACTGAATCTTGATTGGATCCGCCAGAATGAATTTTTTTAAACTTGAATAACTGTCATTCAATTCATTGAAAAATAAATCTTAGAACCCATTTTAGCTACCTACATTTTGTAATGATTGGTAATCACATAAATATATGCGTAAGATGTATACCAACTTCCACATTTTACCATAAATATATTCTTGGAAACATGATGAAAAGCTGCATAATATTTCTTTGAAAAATCTAACTTCTCTACTATTGGGAGATTTAAATGTTGATTTTCATACAAAAAGTTCCACATCTGAACAAACTCTAAACTTCAGAATATAATAGAAAGAGTTAACATGAAACATGGTAATAGAAAAACTTCAGCCTCCATACTTCAATTGATTATATTTGGGGTCATATTCGAATATCTTCCCTTGATTATCCACCCGATTATACATTCAGTGACCACAAAATCCAATTTGCCGAGCTTGGCTCATCCATAAAAAACTCTTCCACTTACTAATGAAGAAAACGTTGAGAAATGTTGTACTTAACTAGTTTCTGATTTTGGAAATGAACTATTGAAAAGTTTTTCCAAAGAACTTTTTCGAAATATTCTCGGTTCACTCCTGCTATTCGTAATTTTGTTAGAAAGGTGAGAAAAATTTGCTTATAATATTCATTCAAATAATAACGAAGATACTCGAAAAAAGCGCAATAGGTTTATTGAGTGGGTGGAGTGAAAATAGTACTTCACAATTTACACAACACTAACATTTTATGCTAACAGCTGTTAGCGGGTTGGCTGTCCTTGTTCATTTTCACTGACTGAATCACTGTGCATGCTGTTTTCGGCGAGTGCATTGGCTTGGGTTGTGGGGGTTGAACAAACCGGCCATCGGATGCCTGCTTCCACGTAGCCCCGATGGATACGGGAATGACAGAATCACTTGTGGTTCTTGTTATTCCCTAACTGAATGGCATCCCAACGATGGCTTAATCCTAAGGTGTGTGTATCGGTGCCGAGAGAATGAATGACATTGAGCCTATCAGCTGTCTCTACGGAACCTTCGAGATACCGGGCGCCCTCTCGTCGTAGTATCGCCTTGTCACGGTAATGCGGGGCTCTGCCGTGATTGACCTTTTTTCCCTAGCTACTCGTGGGACTTTTATGGAAAGAGTAAACTTAAAAATTATTTCTGACTGTGTCTATAGAGGAGATGGATGTCGAGCTTACGACTCCAACTGACCTAACTGTAAATTTAATTCAGGAGCGAGTCTACAGAGGAGATGGATGTCGAGTTTACGACTCCAACTGACCTCCCTGTAAATTTAGTTCAGGAGCGAGTCTACAGAGGAGATGGATGTCGAGTTTACGACTCCAGCTGACCTCCCTGTGATTTTAGTTCAGGGGCGAGAGCTGCGGCGAACGCAGAATCTGTCTCAAGTGGGGGAACTAACCCCCCATGAGCGGGTTAGCAAACGTTTGCGCTCAAGTGAGGCTTCACCAAAACCACGGCTGAATCTAAGGCATCATCAGGTGTAGCTGACGTGCAAAAACCCTCATATGGGAAGGTTGTCGTGGGTATCAAGGTGGGAATCTTGCAACTTGACTATCCGACTACCTCATTAACAGTGCATATACTTTGTGCCTGCCCCGCTGGGGACCGAATCAGGTCTTTAGAGTTCGGCAGAGCCGAACTCTTACCATCTGACCTGAAAGACCACCCACCATACTAACTTATCGGCTTGGTTAAGAAGCTGGGTTTGTTTGGCCGAGTGAGAATAGGTGTGAACCATAATAAACCCTTGCGGGTTGCGGTGGAGGGTCGAATAGACCCACTCGCTTTGGACCTAACCTAACAGCTGTTTCGACACACTGTGTCATCAACATCTACTTTTGAAATGAATTTACTCATATTAAAAGCCGAAACTGTAGAACACTCTATAGGTTATTATGAATACCAAACAGATCGGTTTTGAATTAAAAATCATCTCAATCGTTTCACCTAAGAAAGCCTGGAACTTTTTGAATAAATAATTGTACACAACTCGAATCTAAGAAAAAAGACATTTCCATATTTAGTACTGAATTATGAAAGAATCAAGATAATTTTGTCAACACTGAACTGAGCTTCTTCTTTTCTTTCCGCTCAATTATATATACGTCGTCTCAGAATTCACCATGTATGTTAGCCAATACTCAATTTGAAATAGGAGAAATCATTTCCAAATTGAATTATGGCATATCACCAGGATTGGTCCAAGAAATGAGTTCAAAGATAATTTTAGTATTATTTTAGGAAAATTCGCCAATGAAACATTCGAAACTTATCATAATCTAGATATTTTGACGGCATTGAAAATGATTCCTGTCTATAAGGATGGTGATACTTCGGTCAATAAATACTGGCAAATATCAATTTCATCAGCAATATCAGATGAGGCATAGAATGAATTATAACAAATATAAACACCAGTCTATCAAAGGTATTTAAAATTATAATCTGGATTTTTTTTTCATGACGAGGTACAAGTTCACCCCCTTGCCGGACCAGAGCAAAAGTAGAGACACAGATTTAAGAATACTCTAATTGTTAGAATATGATGAAGTGGGAGTAGAAAGCTCATTGACCTCATGATAATAATTCAAATTTAACCTATTTAAGAAGAGCTTCATAATGCATTAAGTTTATTGTTAAATGAGACATATTACCAGTGATCTGAATACTGCATTTATCATTTACAGCTCAATCATTTGAATTAATTCAGTTAATAAAGTCGCAATTGCAACTTGTATATTTTTCCGCTGGCAATGTTTAACAATGCATTGTGAAATGAATCGATCAATTTAACATCAGTGAATTTGTTCTCATATTTATATAATAAAAAAAGATGTGAAGTCAAGGCTATTCGAATTAATTTTCATAGAATTTGATTACTTTTGATTTATGATTGATATCACAATAATTCAACAAATTCGTTTTCTTTTCATAGAGTTTTTCCTCATTAAAATAGAGGAAACTAATGAAATAAGTGATCAACTGAGTCTATATTCATAAAGAATGGATTACTAATAGAAAAACATCTTTTCGGACGACATACTGTATATTTGAATGCAGTATGTTGATATAAATTACATTTTGACATATTTTAATGTTTGACAACATCAAAAAATGTGAAATCAATTTTGTATATTATCATTAGAAATTGTTAACCAATAACATTTCTTTGATTCCAGGCTCATGTAGTGTCGGCTTTCGAGCAAAGTCTAACTTCCATGACACAAAGGCTCCAACATCTAACAGCAACATCAGAGAAAAAAGTAAGTTTTTGGCTTTTACTGAAAGTCGATATTTGTAAAAATAGGTAAAAACTGGAAATTCAAGATTCACAGGTTGAAGCGTACTTAGCCAAGGTGATGCATTGACAAGATTGAAAATATACGTAAAAGATTTTCCTCTTGAATACTAATTCAGAAAAAGTTGAAGGAAATTAAAACAATTATTATAAGATAGTGTTTGCATAAAAACTTCATTTTTAAAATTATGAGAGTGCATGCATTTTGATTGACAGCTTGGTATACGAGGAATATATACTGAGATGATTTCCAAAAGGGAAAGATGGTACAAACACAAAGTTCAGTTTCGAAATTGCAATTTTGAAAATTATGCGGAACATGTAGAAATTATTAAATTCTAAAAATTAGAAAAACCTACCACAAATAAGTTTGTTGACAGCGTTTTCGTGCATTGAACTGCTGCAAAATAGTTTTTCGGTTTTTTACAAAAATTATTTTCTTTCGAATTGTTTTATTTTTTGTGTTAACAGATATCTATGTTTAACATAGATTCTTTTCCACTTTCGTTATTAAATACTTATCTTAACTTTTTATCGAAAATATTCCCAAAAATCTATTTTTTTTTCTTTGGCATACCATCTCGCCTTGAGATCACTGTGGTTCCGCCACTGGTGCACCCTTTAATCAACTATAAATAATAGGAAAATTATTAAAATCAATCATTACTTGATCAAAACATCAATATATGATAATCGTGAATTGAAAAATGGTAATCTATATTGTACGGGCTCCAGGAACAATTAATATTGATCTGAATATTTTCATTTTGGCTGATGCACTTCATTTGCAGGAATCCGAACTGCAAGAGCTTCGGCAGGCGATGGATTCCCTTCGCGCCCAATCCATCCAAGCTGGTATCGGCACTGGTCTAGCGAGACAACCATCTTCAGACAGTGTTTCAAGCCTTTCGTCTGCCTGTAGCCTAGATAAACACGACAAAAAGAAAAAGAAAGGCTGGCTCCGAAGCTCTTTCACTAAAGCTTTTTCGAGAAATGCCAAAGTTACCAAAGTACAATGCCAGAGTGAAGGAGAAACAGAAAGGACGCACAGCCCTTTGCCTTCTGCTCCGACAGATGCCGGTCAGGAAGTAGCAGAGTTGCAGAAACAACTGAGGGAGAAAGATCTAGTCTTGACGGATATTCGATTAGAGGCCTTGAGCTCCGCTCATCAACTGGAGAGTCTGAAGGATACCGTAATGAAGATGAGAGTAAGTTAATATTATTAAAATCGTAATAAACCTTTCTTCATGCCTATTGAAGATGAGCAATCACAGATGAGCAACTTTATAATTTTACGGTTGTATTTCAATTATTTTCAATCGCAAATAAATCTTGAGAATTCACCTAATTCAAAATATGTTCTCAAACGTCAAACTGAATTATTCAAATAACAGTTTGAAATAAGTATATAATTTCCAACGAGAAACAAGAAAAGTGAAACGAATGTATTTCACCAGAAATTTGACATAAGGCGAACAAATTGACATTTTTCGAACGTGATATGGTTATTACTACTGATGTAGCTAACGTCTTAACGAAACGCGTGTAGAATTGAAAAATGTTTGTGGAAATTGTTTAATTATTATCATCATGGATAGTGTTATTAATTATCATCAAGTAACGTCCACTAATGAGATTTCTTTGGAGACTTCTACAAACTAAGTGAAGACATTCGATATGCATTGAACCCAAAGGTTTTTATTTGAGCAAAGCACACAACCGAAAATGTTCATAACCTTCGAAACAATGACGGCTCTAAGGACGGGTCTGAGTGGGCTCTGAGCGGGATCTGACTCACCCAATTTTTTTAAGGATCGACTTTTTTTTTAATCTCAGAAGAAAACATATATATAGGATTGGGTTATTTCTATTTTATGTTCCGTATGCGAATGCCATGTCTACGTATATTGTTTTTGTTTATTTTTTTTAACAAATGTGTTTTCTTGAATTGTTCATTTGGATATAATTTTTCACATTTCACTCCTTCCCCTTTCATTCAAATGATTCAAAAAAATTAATGAAATAATGTTTTTAACAACTTAACGCAACTCAGTATTGGCCCTTTTGTGCCAATGAAAATGCCTTGCCTTGGAAACGGGCTAGTTTCGCCCCGCAAATACTCTTCTTTAAATGTTATCTAATATTTGCAATGAATCCGAAAACACCCAATATTTCCGACACAATTGAAGGAACGATACATGATAAATACTTGAACGTTCTAAAGCAGTGTTTCTCAATCTGTGGGTCGCGACCCCTAGGGGGGTCACGAAGCCTTACTCGGGAGGTCGTCGGCTGAAAGAAAAAGACGAAGGTTCTAACACACAATAAAAACACAATTTTGGTGAGAAGGAAGGGGTTGTATGTTTTTCAAAATTTTATCAAATTGTGGTGCTATTTTTGAAACGTTAATAATCAAATCATTTTCTAATTCTAGTCTATTTCTCTTTTTGGTTTTGCAGAAATGAAGTGGCGAATGGCACTAATAATTTTAGAGCCTCTTGCCAGCTCTGGGTATTCGTGTTTTCTTTTCATCCAAAATACGTAGACACTTTGCGAATAAAATTCCATTTTGAGCATGCCATCAGCAGCTAAATCTAGAAGACAATCTTTCATATTTGTGGTGACATCAGCCAGATCTATTGACTTGTACAAAAAATGATTTAAAATCCACCTATGACTATTATCAGCTTCAGGGTGTAAATCTGGAAAGTATGTCAAACGTTTCTCTCGTAAATTATGCAAGGAATATGGGCCCTTACTACAAGACTTTGGTCTAATGCGTCATGTTTTACAATCTTCTGAACACTCGGAAAAGACTCGAATATATATTGTTTTGCAGAGAGATTGATCACAAACAATGTTTGGCGTGAAATGCTTTGACTTTATTTTTAGCTGTTAAAATATTTTCTTCTTTACCTTGAAAGTTCTTGTTCAAATTATCAAGGTGGCTAAAAAGATCTGCCAAAAATGCTAATTTCAAGAGCCAAATAGGGTCAGAAAAACGATTAGCATATTCAGATCTTGCATTTTGTAAGAACATTAACAATTCAGCACTCATTTCATTTAATTCTTGTTGAATGCTTTCTTTTGGATGACCACCTGACCTCTGTGTGGTAAAGGAGATTTTGATGAAGCGGGGCTATTCTGAATTGTCGGGTTCGCAAGGCTTCACCTTTGATAAAATTCACAATTTTTATCAACTCCTTGAGCACGTCATTTAAATCAGAAGATATTATCTTAGCAGCTAGAGCCTTTCGATGAAAAAAACAGTGTGTCTCCAGGATACGTTTGGCATTATCGATTTTAATTTCGCAAAGAGTCCGCTATTTTTGCCAGTTGTAGCTTTAACGTCATCGCTACAAATAGCGATACATTTTTTCCAATCAATATCGTAGTCGCAAGTGCTTTCTAAACTCATATCGTACAAATACTGTTACGTAACATTTTTTTCTTAATTATTTATTAAATACTCTCATCACAATCTCTGAAGCTGGAGTTTTATTGACACACAATATTCAATTAATTTTTCTCTGTCCATTGATACCATTTTCATAGAAATCTGAACGCTCAGTTTTGTGAAATTAAATAAAAACTGTGATTTCCCATAAGGATCAATTTTAAAGGTTTTTTTTAATATTTGTATCTTTTTTCCAGTTCTCTGTAAGCTTCTAACAACTTAACCGGGTAATTATGATATAATTATGTACCAAAATGCCCAGTTTCATTAAATTCTGCACGCTAACTCTAGAACCGATACTTTAAAATCTGTTTGAAATCTGTCTTTCCGTTAACCAGCTGTCGCACCCTTACGAACGACAACCCTCAGAAGTCGAAACTTGTGCGAGCTAAGGATTAACGAGGTCTTACCTTTTAACGTATGATTCCTAACCTAGTACTACCTTAAGTTGCGCGTAGCCTTACCAACTTACAACAGAGTGTAGATCTGAATAATAGGTACCAAAATATAAAAAACACATTAACGTCGTCTTTTTATCAAATTTAATTTTTTCTTTTTTTTCTATGACATAAGGGGGTCGCCAGAATTTTTCAACTTGTAAAGGGGTCGCGAAATCAAAAAGAATGAGAAACACTGTTCTAAAGAATACAAAAATTGAATAATGAACAGTGTGAATGTTACAAAATCGGACTTGCGTTGTCTAAAAATATGTTAAAATTATTAAAAATATTGAAAATAGTCTGACTGAAATTGTATCAATAAAAATAGAAGGGATGTCAAATAAAAGAGGAAAATTGAGCATTCGTCATTTAATAAATATCAATCGGAAATTCTCCTGTGAAATATTATCTTTTTTTTACAGAGTGAAATGTTGAGTCTGAAACAAAATAATGAACGACTACAGCGTATGGTCAGTGGGTCCACCAACCAACCTGCCGATTTGTCTGATACCAGAAGTAACAATAGTTTAGATGCCTTAAGTGACCTCATACAAACAGAAGACCCCGCCCCTGAAGTTGAAACGGATGGTAAACGAATAGCCATATCAGTTTATCTGGGACAACCACAAAGCTTCGAAAAGTAAGTTAAGACGACTTTGAAGGTAATACGTACATAACTGCATGTTGTTAATTAGTCCATTGTGAGTCCCAGTAAGTAATTTAGCAGTAACAATATTTTCATCTTTTTGTGAAATTCGCCACACTTAGGGCAAGCGCACACTACAGACTTTTAATCGGCCGATAGTTTAGTTGGATGCTTATTAGTATAGAATCGTAATGTGAGTATTGCGTTTTCATTACATATTATTTTTTCATAATTATGTCGAATATTGCCGAATATTCAGTAGAAAATTTAATTGCGGAAGTTGAAAAGCGACCTGCATTATATAATGAAGCATTAAAAGAATATTCCAATGTTAATATAATAGCTTTCCTCGATAACATTCTTCAATACTTTCAATACAACGCGTCAAAATATTATATACTTCAACAACTGTTCAGACTTTTCATTTGGTGGTCTGCGCACCCGCACCGAACCGAACAGTTTTGTTTGAGTAGTGTGCCCCCACCCAACCCAACCAGACTAAACTATCGCCCGATAAAAAGTTTGTAGTGTAGCTTGCCCTTAACTTCTCAACTCGCGTGTATGTGTTTTTATATTGTCGGAAAAAAAATCAACAACGCATTTCTTGATTGAAATTTTTGTAAATAAAACCAGAGGGTGCAATGAAAGCTTTAAAATTGCCATTTTCAAAATGTAATATCCGAATTTAAATCTTGTTGTGAATGAATTCGTTGACTTTGTCATTCAGTTGAGCTAGTTGACTGTGAAAATCAATTGTCTTACCAATCAACGTGTGATTCCTTTTTGGAGGTTACAGAAGTTCATATAAAAAGATATATTATGAATGGTAGAAAGATAATTCAACTAGTTTAACTAATCGTATAAAATACAGCACCAAAGTTGTAAGTGCCTGGTATTTTCACATATTATTTATAATAAAATTAGGACTAACGTTGATAATTAGTGTCCAAAAATGATAAAAAGGAGTCATAACGAGAATCGATTTTCAAGGTAACTGAAACTGATGTTCCTGTAACCTTCAAATTTAAAAAAACTGGAAAATTTAAAGTCAACTCAATAATCTGGTATTGATCAACAGAGTGGTCAAATAGCCTTTCTGAAATTCATAATAAATACTTTTTTGGTGTCAGTAGAATGCCAGCCTCAGAGTTTATGTATGTATGTAAGAGTAAAAAAGTACTTTTTTATTCAATTTGTCTATTTATTCTACTTGTGATATATTTCGTGTGGTTTATTTTGGTATAAATCGAAGCTGTCATCAACAGGCTTATTTGAATATATTAAAACTAGAAAAAATCAAAATGAAATTGAAGAGACAGGAAAGGTTGTGTAAAATCTCGTAATTACACTTATGGGTTATAGACCAGGGTCGTTAATTTTTGAAACCAAAAAAATTAACAGTAGGATGAAACCCATTACAAAAGGTGGGGAATATGATAGATCGCCCGTAATTTATTTTTCCTTTCATTTTTAAGTTCGGGAAGTAGGAGGGGTGAGTTTTTAATTGTAAAAAATGGATTTTAATCTCGATTTCCGGCAAAACTACAAGTCCTATAGAAAAATGTTAAATGACAAAGTTGTAGGTAATGAAAAGATCTACAACTTTTGTTTTTACAATTTTTTCACATTCTTCTGTGAAAAATTCAAATAACCAAGTTTTTGGTTTTTCATTTTTATCTTTTTCAAAAAAAAAATTTCTACAAAATTTGGTGAAAATTTGCCTTTTTATGTCCCAAACACACTGTAATTTATTCAATTCAAATTATCTATTTTTTCACCTTATTTTGACTTAATATTCTCGCGTCAAAATATCAGCATTTTTCAAAAAGTCGGTTTGCTTTTTGTTCGTTGAAATCTCTACTTTCTGATGGTGTAAAAAAATATATGACAATTGTAAATGTTCTCAGAAAATGTAAAAAATCGAAAAATCAAATTCGAAAATTCATGTCAGAAAATCACATGAAATANAAAGTTGTAGATCTTTTTATTATCTACAACTTTGCCATTAAACTTTTTTCCATAGGACTTGCCGGAAATCAAGATAAATCATTTTTTACCTTAAAAAACTCACCCCCTCCCACTTCCCGAACTCAGATCGTAATTTATTTTTCATTTCATTTTTATCATATTCCCCTCCTTTTCTAATGGCATTCATCCTACTATATTTTTTTTCACTTTTAACCATTTTTGAAGGCTTCAGTCCTGTTCTATTATATAACTCGTAAAATATAACAATCTGAAAATATTTCGAACCTTTTTTTTTCTTCCAGGTATTATGTAAGACATTACGGGTACGATGGTGTTAGTGATAATGCTAATACAGAAATTTCAATAGCTCATACAACCATTGGTGCATCTTCGTCCTGGGCTCAGCTGGATAACGCAGTGAGAAGAGCATTCAAACAGTACGTTGCTAGATTAGATCCTGGAGGAGGTCTTGGGTTGGGTAAGTCATCTGTGCATCTCAAACTATCAATTCAAAATACGACACTGACAATCTAAAACTTATTAACGTTTTAAATTTTTAACGTGCAAGTTCTCTAACACTCGTTTACTGAATTAACCTATCCTCCACAATACTTCATCTTCATCTATAAAGCTTATTCAAGTAACACTTTATTGTGAAATTCTCACCAAACAGTTTCCAAAATTGCGTTTTTCACTATGAAATAGCTTTTACAAGCGTATTCATACAAATGTAAGTAACCCTGAGAAGACGTAGCGAACCGAGAATGATGACCTTCTGCTTTTGTCTGGCCATTCTGAGGCAAGCTGGTACAATCACAACCAGTACTTGTACTTCCCTACACCAGAGGATTGTCGGATAGGATAAGAAGAATTGGGTCCATGTATAACATCAGAACCTGCTTCAGATCTGGGAACACTATCCGTAGAAGCCTCACGGAAGCTAGGCCTCTAAACGCGGAATTCCAAGAATTGCATTTACCGGATAACCTGCGAGTGCGAAGTCCTACATCGGTGAAATTTAGAGGCCATTGAAAGTTCGCATGGCTGAGAATAACAAACACACACAGCGAGAAAAAACCAGCAAATCAGAAATAACAGAGTTTGTTGTTGAGTCGTTGATGAGTCCATCAAGTGGTCTCAAGCTAAAATCATTCACAAGGAGGAACACTTGTTTACGAGAAAATTCACAGAAGCCTCATATATGCTTGGCTAAATGCGTTGTCCAACAATGCATTTAGCCAGCTAGTGTAGAGATACGCAACATATGGAAATCTATAATCAGGCGGAAAATAGCCAACTCCCGCTAAAAGGTCAGCTCCCGCTAAAACCGATGAAGCGGGGAGAGGTGATAGATGAAAGTACTCGAATTACCGAGTCAGCTCTCGGAGGAATAAGTCCAGTCATCACCCGAAGACGACTGTGGATACTAACTTTCGAAACGTCGTGAAGTAACTTGGATTGAATACTTTCAATTTTAATTTTCATTTCTTGCTAATTGTCCGCTAAAAGTCCGAAATAATGAAATATATTTATTAATGGTGGTGGTGCTAAGAGGAGAACTTTTATCAACGCTCCATAATTTCTTTGANCATTTTTCGGGATATAAATTTTTAGCGCACATGCGCGAAACAATTTGTATTCCTGTCAATGACAATCTATAATTCCTGTCTTAAGAATGTATTGCAGGATTACCAATTCTTGATTGATTTCTGGCATTTACCGTGAATTGATTATACTACCAGATATCATCTGAGCCAAAATTCCTGAAATAAAAATTGTATATGTAACAGGTACATGCCAAAATAATATAGTCAACGTAATTTCAGAAATTGCCGTCTTGCCATTGGATTTATTCATGTTGGATGGTCTTGTTACACATTAATGAATAAACATATCATACAAGAAATATGTTGTTTTTTTTTCAATTATTAACAAGTTTTATTTTTTTTATACACCCGTACTATAATAATACACTTATACTTATTCCCATAATTCGTTACGTTTCGCGGTTCGAACCAGCAATGAAATAGCTTAATCGGATATATGACAACGCCGTTTAATGAAGTTCAGCTTCATTCTTTAGTGTTGGTCGACAATTACCTTATAAGTTTATTATAAATAATAAGCTACTTTATTAATCGTAACTAATGAAGTATCTTTTAAGTATTTTTCAGCCTATAAACAATGAGGCTAGGCTACTTGGCAATGAATACACTAAACGAATGGCTACAGTATTACTAATCAAAATAAAAGATATTAAATTTTATCAAACTTCATATAATACTTAAGTTTCCTCTGATATATATACTTGCTTGAAAAACTAAAATTGAAAAATGTTTTTAGTTCAGGTTAGTTTCATTTGTTGTTTGATATTTATTTTGTTTACCAATTAATTGTAGCCATTTCAACCAAATTCATAGCATTTCTGATAGCATAGCATAGTTGTGTCTGAATCCATTTTCTTCCTGTTATAATTCAGAGACTTGAATCCTATAAGTACAAACATCAAGATTGTGTATCAAAGTGAAAGTTTTCTGATGAAATAATGATAATGAATTTGAATAAAAATTACACCTACAAAATTCAATAGTAAAAATTTGTCAACAATTCAGTGTACCAAAAATATATTAAGTATCATAACGAAAACGGATCTTAATCAACAATGTTATTTTTCTTAGTGTAGTGAATACTACACTAAGATACTACACTAGTGTAGTGAATACTACACTGATTTGAATCAGTGTATCAATTAGTATCTCTGTCAATACTGTGACGTATTTCCTCTGAATATCTTGTACAATGAACATCAAAGGTTCCGACAAAGTATTCGCCTCTTGGTAGATGTATATTTGGAACGTACCTGTCACCGTACCAGCTTGGATGAAATGAACATTTTTTTAGTGGGAATAATGAATTTGCCCACACAGTGTGTGAAACATGAGGTTTAATTTTTGCTAGAAGTAAAGCACTGAAGTTATCAATTGTTTAGTATTGTTAGATTAAAACTGGTAGTTTTAATCTTCCTCTTTGAAGATGATCACTTGGACACGAAACACGTGTCGAGGTGTTAAAAATAACGATTTGGTGTTGGGGAAAAAACTCCAGTAATATTCATTACTACACCAAAGGTTCCAAACAGTGCATCATTAGTATTTACGACTTCATATTGTCTTCAAATTCAGCTGACAAAATTCACGAGTTTGAAAAAATTAAGTTTACTCGAACTTTGATAACCAAATTTGATGAAAATGTTACCTAAACTTTCACAATTTTCGGTGTCTCATCTCCGAACATACACAATTTTTCTTCTTAATTTCAATATTTCATGCGATCTATAATATTTTACAGGTAGTGATGCAATAGCCAGTTACAAATTGGGGGAAGCGGAACGTAAACCGGACTCAGGTCCCCCAGATCTCCTGCCAGTGGGATATGCAGTTGGGCGGGTGAATACTTTGCATGTTGTGCTCCAACCCGTCGCAGCCTTGGCATTTGAAGCTTTAATTCCGAAGGGAGTCGCACAGAGGCTGGTATCCTTGCTAGCAGAACATCGGCGGCTGGTACTTTGCGGTGCTCCTGGTACTGGGAAAACTCACCTCGCTACCAGATTAGCAGAGTTTCATGCACAGAGTTTAGGTAGAGATCCCGCTGAAGCCGTTGCAACATTCAAGTAAGGAAAATGTATTGATTCAAAATTTGAGCTTGTTGAAGTAAAACTTCATTATACACGATTGACTGGGGAGTAAGCTGGTGAATGCGTGACGAGAGCGTTACGAAGTGTGAT